TAAGTTTGTAGGTTTGATCTCCCCACGAGACCTTCTTCACCCACATGTCTGCGGTTGTTGTGTCCTTGGGCAAAACATCTAACCCTGCCAGAAGATTGCTTCTCACTGATGGAGCAGCAATGCTCCAGTGGACTCACCACTGGATTTGTGAGTAAGAAGTAATGTTTATTTATGTAGTGCCATTCACAGACCAGAGTCACAAAGCGCTTTACCATTGTTGTTGCCATTTGTCTCTCACGCCTCACAGAGAGATGGGAGCAGGGTCGCCGAACAGGAGACCTATCGTATTTTTATGGGAGTGCATTTGAAGGAACCCTACGCAGACATGGGGAGGACATGCAAACTCCACACAGAAAGGCCTGGAGGTGGAATCAAACCCAGGACCTTTTTGATGTGAGGCAAAAGCACTAACCACTGAGGGGCTGGTGCTCTGAATTGGGGGCAGCTCTGACCCAGAAATGGACAAAGGGAAAGAAAATGGATGGAAACACAGGATATTTTGCCCCAAGTGAACAAGAATGGTTCTAGTTAAAGTGAACTTTAAGAGCCCTAATGGTGAACTTTGTGCTTCTTTTGCAGCTTGTGTCCATGACGATGCACGTTGTTCCACCACGTTATTTATCCCTATGTGGACAATTAGGTGATAAATTACTTGAAAGATCTGTGGAATAGTGAGCCCTGTCACACTGGTAAAGAAGGATAGAGAAATATGGGTATAAATCTACTATTAGCGACAATTTAATGCTTTGAGGAAGGTGTTCAGGAACTCAATGAACTGGACTACACTAAGCTGTTTTATTGAGGCATATAGTATCCAATATTTAAAGACAGGATATGATATTGGTTAGTACATAGCGCTAAAATTAAAAATATTGCTCATACAAGTTTTATATTGAAAGCTGCATAAGCACACCATGTCAAATTTGTGTCCAGCCCCATAAGCAGTGGCCCCCCGCAGTGTGAGATGTTAGTGCTGACAGGAGCATATTGGAGGTAATGAAAGCACTCTGTCGGCCTGCAGCGAGCACTAAAGCAGAACTGAGTCCTGTCTTGACTACATGCACCGCTGAACCTCCAGATGACAAAATGCTTCACTGGCTGACCGAATCACACACAATAATACTGAGAAAAGGAAGGACCACACAATATTGAACGGAAATGTTCAGGATTTCTGAGGTATTTCTGTCAAGCTTTTCAAAATTGTAAATTTCTTCATTGTATAGGGCACCGAGCGTAAAATATGACACTTCAAAAAACAAAGAACAGGCGTTATGGTCTCATTATAATAGTAATAATAATACATTGTACTTATATAGGGCTTTTTTGGAAACTCAAAGATGCTTCACAGAAGAAAAATGAGAAACACAGTTAAGTGTCCAACGCGCGGTCCGAGAATTCATTCCCTGAAGAAGTCCCCAGGTTGAGGACGAAACGTCGGGAAAACTTGCTAAGAAGTACAGATGATGGGTGAGAAACCTTCCTTTGCTTTGTAGGCAGTTTTGAACAAGGACCTTGTATTTTATGCGGTAAGGAACAGGGAGCAATTGGAGTTGTTTGAGGATAGGGGTGATGTGGTCTCTGGAACAGGTGTGGCTGAGAAGGCGGGCGGCAAAGTTCTGGATGTATTGCAGTTTCTGAAGATGATTGAAAGGGAGACCGAAGAGGGGGCTGTTGCAGTAATTGAGTCTGGAGGTGATGAAGGTCTGGAGGTATAGTGATACATTGTCAATAAAAAACTAAATGACATTTGTTTGGTTTTGGCCAATGTAACTTTTCCCTCCTGATGAGATGTTTACTGACTTACCGAAACATGTAACCCATTCTGATGAACTAATAAAGCAATTTAGATTTCAATCAAAATCCTGTAATACTGTTAAATAAACAATTCTCAATATTATGACCTCAAAACATTAAGAGAAAATGAATCCCTGGACTCCTAATCAAAGAAACTTTAATATAATCTCTAAAGCCATTAAAGTATACCAAGCTTACTTTGAACAAGCACTCAAAGAAATGACTTGTAGAATTTACTTAATAAAATCATTGTAAGTATTTGCACTCAAAATTTCTAAGTAATTTTAATGCTGTAATATCAAGTATAACTTACTTGCCAGTATCAAGTACAATGTACTTACTACTAACCTTAAACTTTGTGAGGATATTATGTAAATGTTATGCAATTATTTTCATACAGGAATATCAGATATTAAAATATTAGGTAAATCTTACTTGTTTATATCATTTTCTGTTATGAAGTGAATAAGTAGATATTACTTAATTTTTCTGTTTAAATTATTATTATTATCTACATGCTTTTTGGGTTGTTCCACTTTAATTGTATCATTAGGATGTCATAATATTTATTATTCAAATAGAGCTCAGCGACAAGTGGTACAGTGTACAGACTCTGTGGCACACATACAATACTCATTTGATCTAGTGACAAACCCAGGAAGTAAAGCCATACTTTGACTTGGCCATGTCGATCATGGTTGGTAAAAATATATTTAAATTTTTTCATTTGGTCAAATTTGTTTGTTCAAAATGTTGCTCACGTATTTTGTTTTAAGACTGGCTTTGTATTCACCCTCAAAATTAATGCTCAAATGTAGATTTTTTCAGAAGTTTATGTGTTTCTCTGCATTGCATTCTGGGTAGCGTCACTACTTCACCCAATAGTTAAAAGTTACTTGATTTTTTCAGGTTTTGGTGCTATGACAATAAATCATGTAAATGGTACGAGCAAATCTCTAGTAAGATGTAATTGAGTGTAATCTTTCCACTCAATTAATTAATTACCTGAATAAACTGTGTAAATATTTATGTTTTTAACTAGTTTTTGCTGACAGTTGATATTATAGGTAGAAACTACTACTTTTGAGTTAGTATATATTACTACACCCAAAAATCATTTTTTTGAGTGAGAAAATGCTGGCTATTATGGGAAAGACAAATTATAGTGAACCAGAAATCAGCTATTCACAAGTGTCAAATTCTATTATACAAGTGGGGCTGAAAGTTCTACAAGGATCCCAGCATTCTTTCTAGAATTTCAAGAAAATTTAGACAATAGAACAAAACAGTGTGAGAAAGAATATTGTCACATGCTTTTTGCTTTAAAGCGAGAGAGAGAGAAAAGCTGCAGTCCCATGAATGGACAGACCATGGTTTAGGTGAAGCATGAGGTGAGCAGACTTAAGTCAAAGCCCAGAGGACGTGGGGGGGCAGTACATGTTGCTGCAGATTCCCTTTGAAAGCCGAGCAGAGCCTCAGTCCCAGAAGAATCACACCACAACACAATGCCCAGCACATTGAGCTGAGATTGGATTGCAGTGACAGAGCTCCGGAATCAAAACATATAGAGGTAACATTCAACTGCTTTAGTATTATTTTGTGACATTTCAGATTGGCACTGCTCTGTTACACTATGAGTATATATATGTATATGTGCAGTGCCAGGGGTAAAGCTAAATTGTCTATTGAATGTTTACCTTTACTGAAAAAAAATAAGTCCGAACAAATTCAACAAAAGTAAAAATTTAAAGTAGCAGTTTTTCATTTTCTGCAGGTGGTTTGTTTCCTGCATGAATCCTTACTAAGAACATGAAAATAAATACAGTCTGTTACTGTTGGAGAGCATAGTCAAAGGAATCTATTCCCATGTGGCCCTGAAGACAGTTATCATTCAGGTCTGTAGAGTCGCAAGACCGCTTTCAGTGAGGCCACCTTTTTACATATGTTCTGATTAAGAGATTGAGATTCAAGATCATTGCACTTGTACTGAACAAAGTGCTTTGTTAAAACTGATATAACATGGTTGGATGGTTTAAGAGTCTGCATTCATAAAAAACCTTCAGAACAGGCCGCTCAAAGCTCACAGTCCTCTTTTCAGAGTGGAGCACCTTGTCTAAAACTCTCCTTTCTTTGGCTGTTATGTTACCAAACCAAGGTTACTTTATTATTTGTAACACCGCTTCTACACTATGTACGCTCATTTTTAGTCAATACAAGCAGAAAAGTGATAAAGAAACCCCAAATGAACAACCAAACCAAAATATTGTTTGGTCTAATTCAATCCCTGTACATGTTTTTGCTTTTGTTTTCTTGTTTCCTGTCAAATTATGTGTGCAGGTTTTGAAATAAATATTTCATTCAAATATTTCATATTTCATTCTAATTCATACTTGGCTCAAAAGTGATGTGTTCTATATGAAGCTGCATGTAATTATCTCCGCACTGCAACCATCTACTGCTGGGAGAACCTGTGGCTTTATAGGCGCACCAACAGAAAAGTCTATGTTCCATCCTCGTATTTACAATCAAACCAATTCACGAGACTCTGAGGAAAAGAGATGAAATAATGGGTTGATTATCTCTGCCCAAACACAGTTGTCATTGCTTGAGCAGAGCCACACAATAGCCACATGCAAATAAACAGTAAACACGTTCATACAAGTGAACCAAAAGCCTAAAGCTCTCTTCGGGGACAAAACAAAAAGTCTGTGTAAATAGCAGCCAATCAAGGAGAATAATTCATCCACTAATTATCTTGTGTCTATTTTGGTGCAAGAAAAGAAACACTGGTATCTTTTGTTTTGAACAAGTTTCCTCATGCATTTTAATCCACAATCAGTTCTTGCCTAGTGGTTTGCAGTGTTTTCTCTGATCAACCAAATATTCCCATGTATCCAATAATAAGTTAAAATAATAGTATACAATCATCATACATCCTGTGCAGCTCTTTAACTGGGGGGAGATAAGATGCATGTAATGGATCATAGGTGGAATTGCTTGGTTTAGACTCTTCTGTGAGCCTTTCGGAATACGGAAACTGGAGCAAAAAATAGAACAAACAATATCTGTAATCCATCCTCAGATCAAAGAGGATATTGCAGTTCCATTACAACGCCTCAGTCGTGTCTCTTTATGATTATATATGAGCAAATGAACTTCTCGCAGGGGTCACGAGACAATACAGACAAAGTTTGGAAGTGACTGACCTTGTAGCAGCGACTGGCCTTTGCGAAAGGGTCCGGAGTGCACCACCTGGTAATGCTTGAGCTGAAATCCAGGGACGCAACCATCATGACCTCCATCCTCCTGACCACAAGTGACCTGTACACACAAAGAACAAGCAAGTTTTATTTCATTAAGCATGATTTTTGTGACTGCAGAGCTTGGTCTATAATTCTTGTATTACAGCATGGACCACTACAGCAATGTGTCGCATAATGATTAACACAATCAAACTAGAAGTAATAAACACTCCCATGACCGCCCTCTTGGATAACTTCAGTATTACTTATATAAAGAGAGATATACTGTAAATATAAAATGGGACTTGAGGACAAAGACTTTTACTCCACCCGTGCTTGACCTGATGATAAACATTAAATGCATTGGAAAATAGACAATATAGTGACAAAGGAGTAAATAAGAAATCATTATTCATAAAACAGACATTTTTAAAGATATATTTGAATGCCCCAGTCAGGAATTACTCGGACTCATATTGATATGGGATTTTTCATAAATTCAACCAAAACAAAGATTGGGTAACTTGATACATAGAATACATATAATACTTAATAAAACTACTTTGTAAACATCCATCCATCCATCCATTTTCTTCCCCTTAATCCATTTCTGGGTCGGGGGGGTGGCAATCAGAGCTGCACCCAGAACACAGAGCACCAGCCCCTCACTGATCCTCCTGCAGGTGGTGAGTCCACAGGAGTAAACACACACATTTTCCTTATATATGATTGGATGAATACATTAGTTTAGTACTATTTCAAAAGTTTAGATTATATGTTCCTTCGGCTTTAAGACTGTACTAGAGCTCTGTCAAGTTTGTTTTTATTGATGTTTGTATTGAAGGATGTATTTCTGCTGCTGGACATGGAAATATTCTCCAATGGGGGAACAATAAAGTCTCTATCGAATAATTGATCAGCTGTGATTTTTTTCAGCCCTATATAAAGCTGACATTGACATTAAACTAACACTCAACAGTTTCTTCTATGTTTGCAGTTGCGCATGGATAAGGAAGTCTGGGTGTCTGCCCTCGAAACTAGCAACTAACATAATTGGATAAAGATTAAGATTAAGATATCATTTATTTGTCCCATGGAGGGGAAATTTCAGTGTTGCATCACTGGTTACAGAACAGTAGGAATGAGGAGCACACAGCACAAGATAAATGGACAATAACTAAAATAAAATCTGTAACTTTAGCATAAAAAATATGCATATAGTGAGATTTACCTTTTTTGGTTGTTCTGCACAGCACAACCTAAAATCCTCTTTAAATGTATCAAATGATTTCAAGGCTCATCTCTTCATCCTTTATTCCCAAGACAGAAACCACAGACAGCTTTTTCTGATTTTACATATTATAGAAAAGGAACAAAAGATTGTCTTGTCAGCTCTGACATCTCCTTCACACAAACCCTCATTTTTCCTCTTTTAAGATATGTTTACGACTCCCCCAGGGAATCTAATGACAAGCATTAATTGATTTCTTGAGCTGCTTGTCTGTCTGATGTCTCTGTACGGACTCTGTTCTTCCCTGATTGGCTCTCTTTAACTTTTCCACAATGGAGCACAGGGATTACTACGACAAGGCCTTGTAGAGGAAACAAAGCCCCGGGTGCACAAAAAACAATATCTCTCCAGCAGGCACAATTGCCATGCACACTCTGTGTCTTAGCCACACTAAATTGGGTATTGTATAGCCGCTTAATCGACAAAGAGCCAGTGAGATAAATAAATCTGTAAGCCATTAGCCACATGTGAGAACAAAAGCATCGGAATGAGGCAAATTAAAAGTAGTAGGAGATACCGATTTTTGGCCTATTTTGGAAATACGATCTTACACTGCAGTTCTTGACTCCCAATGTAAGTAGAATTTAAAGTATACCTATCTTGACAGTACCTAACCCAGGCCTCGGCAAACTTTTCCTCCTGGAGGCTAAAGTGGAAAATCAACCTATATATCATATATTGCGGCAGAGCAATGAGCTTGAGTGTGGTTTCAGACCTCTGCAAGCACCACAGAAGGGTATAATAGTATATATATATAAACTGAGGAGGGCTGCAGGGCCCGATAGAAACATGCAAAGGATCTACCTGAGAAGGAATAGAGCAGACTCCATCCACTTCCTCAGGTGAGTCCAGTTTTAACCTGAAGAATGGAGGAAATAGGTGGAGTCTGGTGTGTTCCTTCACAGAATGGAACTTAAACCTGTAGTGTTGTATTTATAAATACATGACATTCTAAAACCATGTGTTTTATGACCTAAACGACCTCTAAGTGGGAGGCCAGTCCTTCTTATTTTATTTTAGGTGTCTTCTTGTGCCAGCAACTGGACAACAGATGGATTCTGCCGTTTGTATTTCACCCCCCTAGTCTTGGCCTGCTGACTTCTGCACTTTTCAACCTCACTCCATCAGGAGTCTGGCAGACGGAGGAAAAGGCTGGACCCTAGACCGGAAGCTGGCTGATAGGACACTCCCCTCCTTCCTGTTCTTTTTTATGCTCTGGCTTAAAAACATACTAATATCAATTGCTTTACATATTTATTCCAGGCGGGAACTGGAGTGGATTAAATTAATTAATAAATAAAAAGCAAAATCACAAAAGTACATTCTTGTCAACATGTTTTATTAAACTTGTCTTTATCATGTTATCAAACAAAATAGGTTTGCAATCAAAAAATCAAATAGGACTCTTGAATGAATCAGGATGGCATTAAACTACAAAATCAATGTCAATGCTATACAACATAGGTAGCAATAGGAATTAAACTATATCAGCGCTAATAACACAAGTTATACACCAATCAGCATTGAAGAAAATGGCAAAATCAGTGGCAATGCATAAAAAACTTGCATATCAAACAGGGCCAACAGTAAACATGGTATTTTTAAAGTGCAACATTACAAATAACCAAGCACTCAGATCCAGAGCAGTGGTATACGTATTCAGAACCCTGTTTTATACAGATAGCTGATTCTTCAAAGATAGAATTTTGGGTTTCAGCTCAACTCTGCCCAGGTTTAGCATGACCTGTTGAATAAAGTGGAAGGTGCTTTTCATGCACTTGGGGTAGTCCAAGTGCAAGGCATAAATTAGTCCAAAAAGGACACAGAAAGCCTGTGGCAGGTTGGCCAGCTCCTCCATTACCACACTCCCTTCCAAGACGATGCTCACTCTGGATGGGTTGAGTTGAGGATGTTCGTCAATGCAGAGGATTCCCACTGAAGTTTCACTGTACAAGTCCTTGTCAGTTGCATCCTAACAGAAAAAGAAACGGACAAAGAGACGACATTGTAATGTCAATAATGCTGTGTTGACCACAAAAATTGAGAGAGGACAACACCAATTTTAAAATCGCCATAATTTGAACTGTGCATTACAAGAGCCGTTTGAAAACCTGTGTGCTGAAATGGTTTTGTAGCTCAGCAGAGATGGAGAGCTTTGTCAGTCCCATTCAAGCTGAAAAGTTGTGTAAAAACAATTTCCAGTACAGATGCAATGGGTTCTATGCACAGAATCACTACTTCCTGAACTTAATGCTGCTCCTTTGTTTCCTGTCTTACATTATTGGACAAACTGATTAATCCAGGTGTCTGACCATTGTGACTACTCAGACACACCTGGATTATTATCAGTTTGTCCAATAATGTAAAGACAGGAAACAAAGGAGCAGCATTAAGTTCAGGAAGTAGTGGAGCTATGGATAGAGCCCATTGTTGCAGTTACAAATGTAAGACCAGTTTTGTCCTTTAATCTCAAAAAGTAAGAATTTATGTAAGGGTTTTTTATAGTCCTCAGCAAAATAAACAGAGGGGTCCCTCCCTGTGGCCCCATCTCACACTAGCTGATGGCAATTTCACAGAAAGACAAAGGTGAAAGTTCAAATTTTTGTACAATGTTAATTTGTTTGTAATTTAGAGTAAGTAGTAGTAATTTATTTTTTACAGTAAATTCATATCAGATGGTCATGTTGTGAATCAATAATGCAGATATTCAAAACAAATTCAGTTACTTACCGAGCAGGTTTTGAAGAACGCAGAGGGGTCATCCCCCAAGACGACTGGCAGTCCCCGAAGACAAAGGCACCTGATGTCTGTTGGCTCAGTGGTCTGGAAGATAGTGGACATAACTAAGTACACTCATACTGTATATGCTTAAATAGATTCCAGAAAGTCGCCACAATTTAATTAATTCATTACAAACTTCCTGGAGAGAAAGTAGAGAGGAGTGGGTAGAAGAACAGAAGAGTAGATATAAAAACAAGAAAAGAGCAAAGTATATAGAGTAGGATAAAAGAGGAGGAAATGGAAACGGGAGAGCAATGAAAAGTAATGAGATGAGAAGAAAGAGGAAAGAATAGAGAGGCAAGATAGGCAGTCAGCTTAGGTAGACAAGTCAGCCTACCTTTGTCTGACGTAAAAGGTCAGTTAAAACCTGTCCACTGAGGCCCTTCTTCTTCCTGAAGAGGTCCATCAAGTTTGGCGAGAAACGGTCAAGTGCCTCAAAGAAGTTTTCTTTGAGATTTTTCCCCACCACACGGGTGAACTCGCAACACACCTGAAAATATAAAACATAGCCCAACGGTCAAATGAAAGATATTTATGACCTCAACACAACACAATTTAGGTCACAGTGTTAACCACTTTTTGTAAATACTCAAAACAGGCATACAAACCTGGCTCTCAGAGAAAAGTGCTGGCCATCGCTGTACAATCTGGGTAATTGCAGGCTTGTCTGTCACAACTTCTTTTCTCCGAAGAGCAAAGGTCCTATCCATTTCTTTCTTAATAAGGGACCCATTTGGCTTCGCTTTCATCATTTCATTGACTAGAACCTGGCGAGCTGCTTCCAGGTTGTGGTCATCCAACCCCTCTGGATACTGAGGCAGGAAATTTATTTCTCCTTTCCTTGGCTTTTTGATGTCCTTGTTTGGAGGGTCGCCATTTGTAGAGTATCTTCCACGTTTACCACTATTGACAGTGACGTCAAGTCGGCCCAGCTTGCACATTTTGGCTCTGTAATTTCCAACCTTGAACTTCAAACTGTTCTTCCATCCAAGACAGCCAGAGGTTGACCCTGCTTCTTTAAGACATGGGTGTGTTTCTACTAAAGCTTGTGCAACAGCGCTAAATCATCCTTTGTTGGGTATGCATCAAATGCATAGATGACCTCAGCCAATTTCTCAAGGATATCATGCTTTAGCTCTTTTGTCACTTTGAGATAGGTTCCATCCCTGAGATATAACAAGTTACCTTGACGGAGTCGGTACTCAACATCAACTGAAAATTTAGGAATTTCAAACACCTCTGGCCATGGCACACTTCTATCCAGAGAGGAGACGGACAAGATCTCGGTGTCTGCCAAGCTGATTGTGTCACTACTCAATGAAGATTGTTCAAGTGGTCGTTCAACTGGTTCAGTGACTGGTACCAATTCAACCATAGGGATGATTTTAATGGTTGGCTTATCTGGGAGGTCTGAGACATCTTCAAGGTTACACAGTTCATTGTTAAAGTCGGGGTCTTGGTACTGTAGGACGAAGTTGTAATTTGCTTGGAGAGTGCCTTTAAGCCAGCCAATCAACTCTTCAAGTGTGTCCGGTCGTGTTGTCATTGTAGACTTTCTGATGTCTCCCTCTGAGACAATAACCCTCATGATGAATTTCTCTTGCATAGCCATCTGGGGAGAAAGGATATACTCAATAATTTAGCAAATAACATATCGTTTCAGTGTTACCATAAGTTCTCCTTGGACCCTGTATGCTGATAACGGGAGGACATCATTCAGCTCCAATATCTTGACCACATATGTGGCGGGGATATCACCAGAGTGAAGTTGGTAAGATCTCAAATGCTCACAGTACCATGCGGTCATTTTGTGGCAGATGAACAGGATTTCTGTGTTAGCTGTAACAATCTTTTCAATCTGGGCAAATTCAGAGAGAACCTGAGCATGAGCCAAAAGAGAGAATCATGCCTGGATGATACATGATTCCATCTATGCAGACAGATGACACATCCAGAACAGACTCTACCTTTGCAAATGTCTCGAGCAAATACTCTCTGAACATTCAAAGGGAAAGAGGCAAGCAAAACTGGGGTAACCCTTGTCATTTCCACCGATGGTTTTAAAAATGTGCTGCAGTCAAGATGGTAACTGACTGCTTTCTGGTGTTTTGTAGCAAGTGTCATTGCAACATTTTTGAAATTTTGAGCGTTCCGAATTGCTTTTTTAAAGAACTTATGTTTCCCCTCGAAGCGCATTGTCCAAACATCGCACAAGGGACCAAACTTCCTCACAAGGTAAGGATAGTGTTCCAGGTAGTGATGCTTTGGCTTTAACTTAAAACCTGGAAAAGTTGACTGCAGCAGCCGTCTGTGTTCTGTTATTTTACATTCCATGAAATGCAGTGTCTCTTCAGTATGCCTTGGTGCCACAGCCAGCTCGATTATGTCTTTAAGAAGCATCAGAATTTCCCAAGTGTCATCACCCTCAGGAACACAGTGACCAATGAGAAATGGGAGGAGCCTTATGAGACACCAGTTCTCATGGCCATTTCCACCAATGCTTCCTTTGGTGGAAAATCCCTTTCCGATCATCTGAGGGCGATCTGTTTTGTCTGTGAATGTATAATCAAAGTGTCTGATGGACTGATTAAGTGTATCTAACGTGAAATACCTCTTGCTTATCAGATTTTTAAGACACAGGGACAACTCAGTTGGCACAATGCCTTCAAACAGATCATGCAAGATGTCAGGAGGATACCCGGTGACCACATGAAAGTGCTCGAGATTTTCAGTTAATGGACATGCTCTTTTCACACCATATATCTGACTGAGTGATGTGTCCTCTCTCACCTCCTGCACTTGCCTATCATGAGAGTCTTTGTCTCTGAGCTGGAAAAAATCCAGAACAAACCTCTTGCTGTTGTGCGTCTCTGCTGCTCGCTAGACAGAATCTGCAGAACTTGTCGACCGTGAAGCTCTCCATGAATCCTGCAAGAGAGTGAGCACCAAGATTATCAGCGGCAACATAAAGACTGTGCCCTTCACACTTGCACCTAGTGACTCTATGTAAACACCATTTTGCTCCAATTCTCCCAAAGTGGGTCCGCGGCCCCTGGTGGCCGCGAGAGGGGGCCGCGGGGTCATAGATGAAATTATATGTTTTGTTTGTAATATTAAAATATTGTGTTGATATTTGACTTGAATAATCCACACTTTTTGTATTACAATGTTTGTAGCAGAGGCTATTTCCCAAAATAAAATAACTGTAGACGTTATTTTGGGGGCCACGCAGACCGTCAGATTTTTAAGGGGCCTCGGTGTTACTGAGTTTGGGAATGGCTGCTTAGATCATAGATGAGAGGTTGCAGAACTTTTGCATAACCACATCTTTAACTGTAGACGTATTGGATAGTAGAGCAAGCTGGATTGAGGGAGGTGGACCTGTATTTTGCAGGTATGTTTGCAATGACCCAGTACACGGCACACATTTTATGTTTCAGCTTTGATGTACCTAGAGGATTGGCGACTTCAAAGTCATCAATGTAAAGGCCAAGAGCAATTGTGAACTCATCGCTCGCAAGAAGAGAATTTTCATTAAAGTATTGCCCATCTGCATAAGACGTGTATTCCTGCAGTACATGGACTTTTTCTGACAAAGCTTTATCTAACACGTCAGTTTTGTTAAGCAGCTTCTGGAGCATTGGAACAATGGGGACATATGCAAGTGGTTTTCTGCCTTTTTCCACAACATATTCAATAGGGTTTACCAGTGGGAACTCTTTGCGTACATAGGCTGCTCTCTTCTTAGCAGTTCCTAAGGGTCCATCTTTGGCACAAAATGACATCATGTTACACTCTGACACAGCACTGGTAATTTCGCTCACAACTGTATCATCCACATTATCAAAGTAATTATTTAGTGTAGCCCTCACTTTGTTATGCAGAAGTGGCTCTGACAGCTTATTGATTTCACAAAGCTGCTGTAATACCTCTTGCACAGAACTCTCTGGTATGTGCATAACTGTTTGCATCTTTAACAGAAGAGATGCTAAGTTGTGCTCTAGCTGCTTTCCTAAATCACGAATATCATTCTCACTAGCTTCTTCACCAACTCCTTCCAACTCTGCCATGTCATCAGCTTGTGATATTTGCTCTTGTGCACCATCCTGATCATGACTTTCATAATCACAACCAATGATTTCTGACTTGAACCTCTTCCAGCTGTGTTCCTTGTGTGCTTTACTCTTGTGTGCTTTGAACGTGGAGTAGACACTGCTTTCAAAGTCACAGTCTTTATAAGGGCAACTGACTTTATGGTTGACTTTTAAGTGTGCATTATGCAGGTGACTAAAGTAGTCAGTTTCAGTGCAAAACTCAGCAAACCCACATGACAGACAACAAAACTTTACTTGTACATCTACAGTTGGTTGCTGTTCTGAAGTTCTGGAGTGAAGGCGGGATAAGTGTACTCTTAGTGCATTGAGTGATTTGAATGTACACAGACATTCCTGGTGTAAACATGGAAATGGTTCTGTTCTTGCATAGCTCCCATGTTTTAGTCTATAGTGCTTAAATAGCTGTGCTCTCTTTTCACAGATGAAAGGGCAGTACTTACACTTCCACAACATGTCTTCTGGAGACCTGCAACACAATAAAAAAAAAAAACAACATAAGAGATGGGGAAGTAATGTTAGATTTGCCTCTACAATCTATCTGTATTTTGAGACTCTTAATTCTGGATAGTGATAAAACTGTATAATGCCATTTGTTTGACGTTCACTTCTTAAAAAGTAATGTTACTCTGTGGAAGTAAAGAGGGTCACATACACATTGCAATGTCACAGCCTGGTCACATGAATACAGTTAGCATTTTACAGATGATTTACTAACAATTAATGGCAGTTATCTAGAGTGAAAAAGTACACAAAAAATATCCAGTTACCGTGGCAAGAGCAAAAATCCCAATGCTGAAAAACAGTAGCTTCAAATGTCTGTTTAAGCAACCTTTTCAACCGGCCACAACACTGAAGGTTGGGGTTCAAGAGCAGATTCAAAATGTAGGTTTGAGCGGGAGCTGCTCACAAACCGCTAGCTACTAAAGCTATGTGTGTCCGTTAAAATGCTAACAGTGCTAGCCAAATGTGTCTTAACATTAGCACGTCAGTTTAGCTAATGGTAACGTTTTTTCACTGCTCTAACAGTCGAGCTAGTGCTAACTTAAAATCAAAAGCCACCACAGAGTGGTGGTCGGTCACTCACCAGATTCAGTCTCCTGTCGCCCTCTTTCTTCGTCTGTACTCCACTCGAGGCACACGTCCTCCGGCAGCGCGGCGCCAACGGCTTATTTACTGACAAAATGATCTACAGGGTCCGCGGTAGTGGAACTGCTGTTTCCACTGCTTACAAACTACTCCTCGCTGTAAAAAGAACTAACAAGTTGTAAAATGTCTCTCGGACACAACAGCAGCGAACCGTTTAAAATATACGCAGGAGAAGTGACGTGCTGCAACATGCCTTCAGGTTGCTGCATTCAAGTGGTGTCAGAATAATCGGGTACATTAATTTCCGACTGACAAAAATCACACGAACACTGATAGGTAGTAAATCTCTGCCCATGTAGAGTGAAATAGATTAGTGAGTCTACTAGTAGAATACAACAACAAGTCTGGGATAAAATCACTGATAAAAAGCTTAAAAGGGTTTCTGCATAGTTGATAACGACGTGAAAAGGATAACCATGTCTTTTTAAATGTTTTGAGTATTAAAACATAAAACTTCTTCTTTGTAGCATCCACAAAGTTTAAAAATAACCTCGGGAAAACCGAACCTTCCTACACTACTTGAATGCAGAGGGAATTTTAGAGGCGTGGTCATGACCAAAACTTAAAAATTCCGTGCCACTTAACTTAAAGTTAGTCATTCATGACATTACTTTCAAATGTAAGTATATTCTACTTCGAATTAGTAGACTGGGCTTAAATTTGATAGTTCTACAATCAAACTTAAATTATCTATGTATGTTGAAATTGCTTGTTTGAGTAGAAATGAAATCCGGGCTAACAGTGTAAATAAATAATATGAATAATACATTCTAATCAAAAGCTACTCTAAAAGATTGAATAACCATAACCTTATATATCTTGCACTTTAAGCAAGAGGGAATATTGATACAAATTAATTGATATTATCAATGTGAAACAATACACCTGCATTGGACAGGTGTGATTAAATCACAAGACATGTGAATATTAGCTGTGTATGAAACTATTGAAAATGTCTTCAACGACATTACTTATTAATTGTGTTACCTGGCATGTACTTGTGTGTGTGTGTGTGTGCGTGTGCGTGTGCGTGTGCGTGCGTGCGTGCGTGTGTGTGTGTGTGTGTGTGTGTGTGCATGTGCGTGCGTGTGTGTGGATCTCATAATGTCATTCAGCAGGCAGCTTCAATCAAACACTCGACTGGGCAGTGCAGTGGACGTGCCAGCAGAAAACTTGGACTCCTTTCAGTGATACCTTCTTACAAAGTCTTTTTGCAAAGGAGAACTGTGGATGAAAATATGACTTTCTACACTATAAAGTTACCCAAGCAGAAGACAGTACTATGGACTAAGTTGGAGATGTTGATAATATCATTTAGAAAGGTGGGGTATTGAGGAAATTGAGATTAGATGTACAGATTTGTTTTTTCTTTTTTAATACATATTTTGTATTTGTACATTCATCACTGCAAAGATGTTCAAATACACTTAAGTGTTGTGTTTTATATTATTATTCATAATGGTTTACTTAAACAACACTATAAGCATACATAGACACTAAAGGTGGGTGGTGTCAAAAATAGCAAGAATGTAATGACATTGTTATTGTCATTATATTTCTAAAGAAAAATCCAGTCTAATTTACTGACCTATAAATCTGCAAAAAAACAACTTCTGCATAAATTATAGAGACTCATTTTGTTTACAAGACATTGACATCAAATCTGTGACTGAAGGACGTTTTACTCTCCAGGAAACACAGAGGGAAAACGCCAGAGAACTGAAATGTATTTATTTACACTACTGACAAGGGACCATTTGGGATGGCACTCCTCTGAACGAGCAATCAAACTGCAAACCATCATTGTTGACATAAATCATAATTAGACTGCAGCTGTAGAGTGTCTGTAGATATCAGGGAGATTTCATTTGGAAAATATGAAATGATGGAGAGTGGCATAATCATAGGTTGAACTGGAGTTGAACAAAGTGGGTCATTTGGAGCTGCAGCAAGTAAACTTTGATTGAAGGTTTTTACAAAGAAATAGGAAATACAGTACTTATTGCAATTATAAGACAGTATCATTTAGTTACTACGCAAAATTAAGATGGATGTATCACAATTAAGTTTTTGCCTTTGCTTTTTTGTTGCTGAAGCCCGGCAGAGAAGACAACAGATTCTGTATGTTTACTGTAAATTATTAGAAATTCATGCTTGTTTATGCCCTGTAGCCATCTCACTGTGATTAAAGTCCATGTGGACTGGGCACTACTAAATAAGACTAAACTCAAACTCACTCTATATAGCACAATGTGTGCAGGACTATGTGCTTCACAAACACAATGTGACAAAAACAATTCTTGCAAAGATGTTGAGGAGAGAAGGGTGCAATCTGATTATAGCAAAGTCCAAACAAGAGAGTCTTTATTTTATCAACTCTCAAAACAGGTCAGTGTTGAGGCACATGTTACGGCCCTAGGCCTGCTTATTGCTCCCTGTTTAGATTTGGTGTGTTTTGTGCGTGTGGCAACCCCTCCTGTCTCGAGATCCCTGGCCTGTGATTGGAGAACCACTGGCCCTCCCACCTCCCAGACGTCCATGACTCAGGTGCTGATTGGAGGAGCAGCGGTGCACCTGGCCAATCCAGCTTCCCCCACCTGGAGTCTCTCTCTCACTTAAAGCTGCACTAACTTAACCTGGTTGTACTACACCATAGTACAAATTACATTTCATACTACGGTCTGGATTTGCTCCATTGAGCTCCGTAAACAGGTGGGAGGGGTTAACTCCTTTTGCAGATTGAAACGATTGGATTTGAGTTTACTATGACGTATGTAATGCGCCCGAGTGTTATTAGCATTTAGCCTAACCATCTCCTTTGGGGAGTACTGCCACAATCTTGACCAGCGATTACATTTGCTAAACATTCCTCTTGCTCCTGCTTCAATTTCATGATAGAACCAGACCGGATTACTTTACTTTGCCAAACTACAACCCGCCCGTTCGGCGCAAACTCTTGACGTCACCGGCACCGACCTACAACACCCGCCTTCCGCGCTCTCTGAGTAGCCGGTCGAAATACGACCAATTGTATTCGCTAACACAGGGACCAGACCCAGACGTTACATGCAGTGAAATGATGATTGAGCTCTTTTTGCTCGCCCTCCCCACACCCACGGAGCTTCCCCCCCCCCCCCCCCCCCCCCCCCCCTCATCCTGTGCTTGCATACTAAATGTATACGGAGCTCACGTCGCATAATATGGATCGCACATTTGAACGTGGATGGCGTGACCATAGAATGGACAAGACTTTCTTTTGGATGGCTGTTCCGCTGTGTAAGCAGAAACCGGTAACAAAGACACGGGAAGCTTCAGGTTAGCCTCCACCGCTTGTTTACCTTAGCTCTCTTTGCTAACAAGAGACCTGTGGCTTTTCTCAAGAAAGTGGGAGCCAGTGGTCCGCTGTGATTGGTCACAATCTGGACCCGAAACACATTCTCTTCCTTGTTTCACAAAAACTCGATCTAAAATAAAATGACACGCCAGCACAAATCTGCGCTACTTTTTCATCAAAAGGACGTATCCCAATGCACTGCATGGATATGGATTGAATTTTCGTAATGAATACTAAAATAAAGTCAGGTAATGCAGCTTTAAGGCCCCTTATGTCCTGTATTGTCAATTTTTACATCACAGTGTGAGAACTGCAAGTGAAACAATTACAACATTGTTATGATAATTTTACGTCATAGGTCACCTTTACATATGCTTCTTTATAAGAATGGAAACCTATTTTTATGTGCTCTCTATACTTTTATTTGAAATACTGTAATCTAGTGTGTGTCTTTTTCCAAAGTACTAGTTACTGACCTTCATCAATTTCAGGTTGTGTGAGATGACACGCATACATGTTTGTGAAGAAAAGAATCCATTCAAAAGGCCAAACCTGCGTCTTCCCAATCCTAACATTTTTCTTGCTGCACTCTTGGCTGTGGCATAGGGAGCATTCTGTGCAACAGCAGTGTAGGTTTTAATTTGGTAAATAGAAATGCTGCTCTAAACATCTCGGTTAGAACCAGCAGCTCTAGAGGGCGCATCATTTCTTTGCATATCAGGGTTGATGAAAAAAACTATCCTGCAATCTTATCAAAGTTATCTGTTGAGTAAAATTAAATGAAAGAAATGGGTAATTACTACAATGTCCATGATGTGTCAAATGTTTCTTTCAATTTCAACATCATAGTAATGTAAAAATACATTTAAAATGTTTATGATTGTGTGTGAAAAATATATATATAACTAACAAAAGAATAATGTAGTATTTTTTGGCACGTAAAATTCCGAAGGAAACTGCCCCAGACGTGGGAAGAAACATGCAAACTCCACAAAGAGGGCAAAGGAAGGCTCGAACACACAACCTTCGAGCAGTTTGGAATGAGCACTACCCGCTCAGCGACTGTCCCACCAGTGTTTTTCCTATTTTAGTTTTAAATTGTGTGTTGTTCAGTTAAATTTATGATCTCACCCTAAGATATTAATGTTGGCTTCAATTTAGTTTCAGAGCTATTATTTTGTTGTAAAGAGCATTTCCATTTCCTGACACTTTCTTTGAACGATGTGTTGCCTTTGGTAGTCTTGGTTCATCGGTGCAGTTCATGAGATTTTTTCCATGAAGCCGAAATCTACTCTCATTTGCATAATAGTCAAAATATAAGGCGGTGTTTCTGTTCAAATATGACAATAAGATGAAGAATTAACAGCACGTGAACTATGCAGCCGTTATTGTACTGACAAGCCACTTCACAAGAGCTATTGGCACTAACACATGTCTCCTGCTGCACTGAATTGAATCTGTCAGCTTATCAAAGGACAAGGATTGGAAACACCGAGAGTGAAATCACTCAGAAATCCATGTAATGACACAGCTGCTTATTAAAGCAAAGGGAAAAAATATGAATTTGTCACTGTGCATAGCCAAGAACTGCAACAGCATTGACACAAAGCTACATTGGTTGAGGTTTGATGGGACAGACTCAACAAATGTGAGACACCAGTCGGTTAGGGTTAGGTTTAGGGTCAACAATTCAAAAAATATTAGGCAAGCTCTGAAATTCACTAATGATTTACATGATGAGGAAGATTAGTTTTGGCAGTTGAGCATCCTATTGTTTGCAGAATACGAGGTTATATTAAACATATAACACCTCATTTGCAAACCGTATCCGTCTGAATGCAATGTCAATGTGTAATGTTCGGCTTTTACCATTGCATTCAAGAAATCGCTACTTAAAGTTGATGTTACTTCATGCAAGTCATAGAACAAACGGCAGAGACAAGAATAAAAAGAGTCTAGTTTTGTGGCAGCTGCTTCAAAGTTTTCCTCCATAATACTTTCCAATGCAGTGAATGTTCTTTTATTCTGTAGAAGTGCTGGGTATTTGTGGGCACTACAGTCCAAAGTGGCTAAACTCAAATGAAAACAAGCTCCACCATCATGGCTGAAATGTGTAATTTGCGACAGAAGTGATAATTCTGTCCTCATGTCAGGTTTTGTAGGACAGCGTTGTGGGCGAGATCTCTTATCATGTCCAGTGTGGAAGTCCAGAGCAGATGGCCTCAAAACCATTCTGCCAGGGCATTGATAGAGCTACAGCTGCTGGCAGGCAAAGCGAATCTCTGTCCATATGCAGTCTCTTGGACAACACGTTTGGCCGGCTGTGGGATTGTGGCACGGTCGGCTCGCAGTTTGTGTGTGGAAACTTTGGTGTCCGTGGAGTAATTTGTTCAACTTTAACAAACGCCTACAGTCGACAAGCAGATCATTCATTGTGGTGCAGGAATGAGGGCTCATTAGCTGGGGCAAGGTTTGAATCGGTTCAGTGAGCCGGCCTAACAAGAGCTGGTCAAGTGAAGACGGGGAAATGCAGAGGTGACCGAGGAAGTGTCCCTTTTGAACTCATTTATACTGAGATCGATGGTGCCTGTGCAATCCCTCATTCACTCCGGATAGAAAAGAACATCGTGGCTCTCGAATTTATTGTGATCTGTGCCATAATAAGGTCCTTTGCGATGAGCTATTTATATTGTCGAGAGCTATCTTGCCTAGAGAAACAGAAGTTTACTATGGGTAATAAACGGCAATGGTGGTACGAGTATCTATAAAACTATAACTGCTGATTTTTAAGGGGCAGCAATGCCAACGAAGAGTCACAAAAAGGATCATATCTGATACATATATAACGCACAATTCATTCATAATCTTCATCATCTGGATACAGTCCCCACAAGTCAATTATTTTGTTTTTCTTCCTCAGAATGGTCACGCAACATTCCTGTGATGTGTAATTGTCAGATGTTTCACGCTTTTTTGGGCACTGTCCTCCGACCACAAGAAGCAGGACGACTTTTTCAGGATAGGCCCCTCGGTGTACGCGATAAAAAGACCCCTCGTCCTGGTTTATAGTCCTGGGGGCACACTTCCATATATCTATGGCCTCTTTGGTCTAGCGTACTGTAGGTGTTTGTTGTCTTCAATTCCAATGATATTTTCTTTCAGGTACAATTAATACTTGGAAAAAAGAATCAATTTGTAGAATCAATCAAAAGACCAAATTAACCTTGATGAATTATCTGTATACAGTATATACTAATATGTCTATCAAAGAAAAACAGTTTGATTCAAAGCAGTAAATATATTCAAACTGAAAAAGACTAAATGTGTGCTGTTGATGACTAAATGTTTTCTGTACGGTAATGTGCTTGGTAAAAAAACAAAAAGATCTTTTTAGATGTATCTTGACTAATTAGGAATCTTTTGCAATAAATATAAGTAGAAGACAAGTGTTTTTTGCTAAATTAAATGAAAGTAATGCAGAAAAAGGATAACGCGATATGTACTGTTGACATTTTCTTTAGATCCTTTTCAAACCGTGTCCTGACATTGTGAAAGGTATAGCCTCTGTTTATCGGATTATAATGACCTCAGCTCTATCACACATTCATTGTTTGTTCTGTGAATGATGTGAAATTCAAACATCTTGTCCTCTATTTGGTCATTTTGATTTGGAAAAAAATCAATCCCTTATCTCAGCTAATAAAAGCAAGGTGAATTGAATCAACGGAAGAGTTCACAAACTGTAGTGGGTTGAGATAAAGAGCCACAACCCTGCAGTGCTGGTAGAAGCCGACGGTCACTGTGGCGACCCAGCCTGGATTATCCATGTGAACAAAATGCTTGTGTGAGTCTGAAGGGCCTGATTATTGCAATTTTGTGTTTGGAATATGAAGTGTGACTTGTGTTATCGCAAAGCATGCAGGAAGGAGGGTCGAGAGCACAGTTCAGGTGTCAAGATGCTGAAAATAATGGTGAAAAGGCAATAGAAAACCAAGTCCATGTAAGCATAGGGTCAACTGCAACGAAAACATCCTGTTTTGTAATTAATTTTAAGTCGGTCAGATTTGAGGCAGAACCGCAGAAAGAGCTCTTGATTAGACGGACACATACAGTAATTCTTCTAATGAGTATTCCTATTTTAACTCGCTTGCATAGTAATGTAAATGCTCATTAAATCATAAACATGTACATTTGGAAAAGTACATTTTGTGATATCAAATGAAGACTTTGTTTCTTTATTGCGGATCCTGACAAATAAAGATTAAAAAAAAATCAGGAAAAGTGGAACTGCGTGCTTGTTTACAAACTTTTCTAGGACCATTCTAGGACAAAAAAAGAAATGTTCAGGAATATAAAAGGCCATGCTTTTTAAGACATCCTTACAAAATATGAACCCTCTGAAATGTAAGAGTGAATCGGCAGTAGTTGTGTTTTAGAATTCTGTTTTAATTGGAGGGCAGATGCCAAATAAAGAAATGTTGAAATAGAAAGTGCCCAAATGTTCGTATTATTTGAGAGTGATTCATATTCTCATGACTGAGCGTTTTACTGGTGAACATCAACAGGGCCGACAGTAGCTCAGTTGGTAGAGCACTGGTCTCTGAACCCAATGGTCATCGGTTCAAGCCCACCACGACCCATATCTCGTTGTGTCCCTGGGTAAGACACTTAACCCCACATCGCCTGAAGCCCCCGCTGAAAGACCAAGGCCATCTAGTCGATGACGGAGAAGCCATCTTCCTGTGGATCCACCACCTGCAGGAGGATCAGCGAGGGACTGGTGCTATGAGACTTGGGTGGCAGCTCTGATTGCCACCCCCCCCCCGACCCAGAAATTGATTAATAAAGGGGTAGAAAATGACATTACATTAACAATTACAATTATCAATTAATGTGATATAGTTTTAGTTTACAGTTCTAAACTAAAACTAGATCAAGACAGTTGCCATAGTTACCAGGAAACCTTTCGCCACAATGTTAAATCAAAACAGGGGTTGCCAACCTCGAGGGATCCTTTAAGATTAACGGCTTGAGATCTTATATATACACGGAGATCTGACTTTTTGGCGTGTTGTGATGTCATATTAACACAACCTGCTGCAAAACTTATGTTTTCGTGAAGCACATAAATGAAATGATATGAGACGTGGCTTGAGAAGACGGCAAAGAGACAGTAGAGGGCTTGACATTAACACAACACTCGTGCAGGAGATTGTGGAGTAGCATTGGTCAGGTGAAGATGACTTTTGCAGAAAGATGCTGCTAGACTGAAATGCTGGAGGATCCTTGAAATCTGGAGTGGATGTGTGGAGTGGGGTATTGCAAGAGGAGCAAAATGGGAACAGATGGCTTTTAAACACCATCAACACTGAGAGTCAGAACTCATGTCCAACTGGAGAGACCCCCCCCTTCACCCCCCTTCAGGCACCGAAGGACAGAGCAGCCATCTGACTACTCACCGAACCATGCTAGAGTAAACATGGCTCTGCTTTGAACCAGACAAATATCCCCCCAGC